TATGATAGACATATACTTAACAACAAATAGACATATACTTAACAACAAAGATATGAAGTTGCAATTTTGGAATTAAAAAAAAAAATTGTAATTCAAAAATACATACCTTTCAAACTTCGTTTCTACTAGAATTGTGCTCGACGTTCTTTCATGTCATGAAACCCATCAATGATTGATTCTGTACTAATAGATCTTGCAATTTCTCTTTTGATGAAGATAGTCAAAGAATTCAGAAGAAAGTTATCTTCCATTTTACTTTGACGTCTGGATTTAACAATAGCCATAGCCGACAATGCACGTTCTGTTGTAGCCGTAGACACGAGAAGAGTGAGAATCAGCCTGATTAATCTATCAATCAACGGGTAAACCAAAACCTTTCTACTTGTTGCTATCCATTGACACAAATCAGAGATAGTACACAAAGTTTGAAATTCTGAATAGTGGAGAACATCAATCTCATAATGTTTCAACTGAGCTTGCAACAAATCTTTTTCATAATCCGTGAAGTCCCTAGGATAGAATTCAGTGACAAGGAGGCAAGCATCATCTATTTAAAAGACAATCGAGAATTGCGAGGGTCGAACATAGAGCTAAGAGCAAGTACCTTCACGACATTCTCACTAAACCTGTTGTTTAGCCCTTGCAATTGGCAACCTATTGTAACATAAAAATGTTAATATGATAATGATCCTCGACTGTAAATAGATTTTTCTTGTTCTGAGATCGTCCTCCTCTTTCCACATATAAAGCATTAATATTAGGAATATCTATTGCACGACTTTCACAAAAATACATTACCTTGGAAAAGAGATTGTTGTATCCATCATCTCTCATTTTCTGGATAAGACTCTTTGTCGTCTCAACAAGAATAGCATTCAAAATATCTTGAGATTTTCGATGTAGAGCTTGGAAAAATGTATCAGTTATTTCCATGATTTCCTTCATAAGATATAGAATGAAGATGAACTCGGATGAAGTTAAAGAAGTATAAGCTGAATCAGCATCAGCTCGTTGATCGCAATTTCCCTCATCAATGATGCACAACAAAACCGAGCAAGCAGCACTAAACATCATTAACAAACTGAAAATGGGCCTTAAATGTGAGCCCCAACGCGTATCCCTTGCTCGTTGTAAACTCCCAATTTGATTTTGTCCAGACCCTTTTTCAAGCTCATCAATAGAAATCAAGTAAGCAATATCAGAAGCTTGAGCCGCTTTCAATTCATCGACGCGTTTACAAGAAGAACACACCACATTTATAAATGAGATTTAATTTTGTGAAAAAATGGTAGATGGGAATAACTTCTCGAGAAGTACCAACTAACGCCAATTGCAAGCGATGAGCTAAACAATGCACATAATATGCAAATGGGCATTCTTTAGAAATTAATACTTGTAGCCCGTTGAATTCACCCCTCATACTAATACTAATATTATCCACTAATCAGAATGTTTGATTATTAGACCGTGGTATTTGATACTCGCCCCATCATATCCTTGACCCCGAATATTTTGAATGTCAAGATTGTGACGAGAAAGAGCAGAAAATATTACATCTTTTAAAGTTAGCGCCTTCGTATCAGACACATGTACGAGATCAAAGAAGCGCTCCCGAACAAAACCATCAATATCAACAAATCTCAAAACGATACTCATTTGCTCCCTTTTTGATTCATCTCTGGCCTCATCAACAATAATGCAAAACTTTGCATCCCTAATTTCCTCACGAATCACTTTTTTTTTATCTTCATTGAGATAACAAGTAAAATATCCTTTTGTACAGACGGGGATGTATACGAGGCATTTTGAGGTGCTTTGTCTAAAATAACATTTGCAATATTTTAATTAAGTTTAGCCATCGCACTCAAAAATTCAAGAAAATTACCACGGTTAAGAGAATCTCTACTTTCATCACGACTGATATAGGATATTATCTGTACAAAGACGAACCGATTGGGTGAGCCGGTCGAGAAGAGCAGACCGGGAGCAAACCAAGCCGAGAGGCGGGAATCCAAGGGATCGAGCAGCCCCAGGGCTCGACCACACAAGCGATCGAACAATTCAAAGCTCGACTGCACTGGCGTTCGAGTAGCCTGACGCTCGATCAGACTGGTCGAGCTACCCATCAATCGATCAGACGAGTGATCGAGCAAGCTGAGTGATCGAGCAAGCTGATCAACATAAGCCCAGACGCGTGTATAGCAGACGCGCGTGAGGGTCTCTGACTGAGCTTCAGGAGAATATTTACCCCATGTGTCGGGTGGACACGTGTCGACAATATACTGGGTGATAGCAATAACCACCTCTGACAACGCCCAAACGTCTCGCGGCACCTCTGACATGTGCGCGGTGTGTCAGAGTACGGACGGGCAGCTTGGACAGTACACGTATCCTTATCTGGGCAGCTATTAGGGCAGGTATCTCACCCCTATAAAAAGGGGATGAGCCTTTCTTCCTTAACACGTTCTATTCATTCTCTAAATTCCAGTATACTCATACACATACTGACTTAAGCATCGGAGGCTCTTCACCGGATCCAACCCCCGGTGTGAGAGTTATTTGCAGGTTCTCGGCGTTCTACCGGCAAGGACAAGAATCGATCTACTCCAAACCGGACCCGGACGCTTACACTTGCATTAGTGGCTAAATGGGGAGAGCAATAATATTACTCTAGTGGGATGTTTTATTATTTAATTCCATTAAATAGGAATTAATTTTATTCCATATTAATTAATTAATTAGGAGA